AGAACTAGATTCTGCTTTTTCCTTTAGAGGAAAAATATTCTCAAAGAATATAGCATTCCTCGACTCAATTGTGGTACCAACAGATACCTCTGGATTTTCTGATTTATGAACCAGAAATCTATATGCTGTACTATTGTACGCATATCCAATAAATACACAATCGACCGTCTTTGGCCCGATTCTCATTTGTTTGGGTTCCGGTACTGAAACCTTAGCCAAACACCCCCACACTTTTAGGTATTTATAAGACGGCTTACGATTTTTCCACATTTCGTAAGGAGTCTCATCTTTCCCTTTAGGTGGTATTTTATTCAGGATATGATTTGCTGTTAAAACAGCTTCCCCCCACATGTTTTGTGGTAATCCTGAATTTATCAACATGGCATTCATCATTTCTTTTAACGTACGGTTCTTGCGTTCAGCAACACCGTTCGACTGTGGAGAATAAGGGGCAGTCGTTTGATGAATTATGCCATATTCAGAACATATTTGTTCAAAATGAGCTATATACTCCCCACCCCTATCACTTCGGATTATTTTAATCCTTTTGCCGAGTTGATTTTCAACTTCGGTCTTATAGATTTTAAATGCTTCCACAGCCTCGTCTTTGCTTCTTAATAAATATAAGTAGCAAAACCTTGTGCAATCATCGATAAAAGTAATAAAATACTTTTTACCTGTTCTTGTTTGCACACTTTTCATATCACATACATCAGTATGGATTAAGCCTAATGGTTCAGTACACCTTTCCACCGAGTGAAAAGGCAACTTAGCCATTTTTGCTTCAATACAAATCTCACATTTCTTATGTGATTCAATTTTAGAATTAGGAATTAATTCTAAATTCATCAACCGTTTAATTGCATTTCGATTTACATGTCCCAATCTAATATGCCATAAATCAGAGCACTCAACGGTATAAACAGAAATAGGCTTTCCATTATCATTTAAAACGGTTACACGGCTCACGGCCATTACATTCATTTTAAACATACCCTTGTCTAGATAGCCACGACCAAGGAAAGTTCCAAACTTGCTAAGAACAAATTTCTTAGCATCAAATACCAGCCTAAATCCATGCTCAACAAGAAGAGATCCGGAGACCAAATTCTTGCGGATGTCTGGGACATGCAGAACATCCTTAAGCTTCAACTCCTTTCCAGAAGTCAGCTTCAGCACCACAGTGCCCACTCCAGCCACATCAGCCGTGGCGGAGTTTGCCATGTAAAGTTTTCGGTTCTTAGCAGAAGTGTATTCAGAGAACACCTCCTTATCGGAACACACATGACGAGTGGCACCAGTATCGATGTACCACTCCCTTGGGTTATCCACCATATTGGCTTCAAACACTACAGCCGACATATCAAAGTCGGTCAGTTCACCCGGCACAGGGCCGTGTTCAGCCATAAGAGCACTCGGTTTACCTTTCTTTGGCCCAGCCTTCTTTGGTCTCTTGCAGTCTTTAGCCATATGGTTCGGCTTTCCACAATTATAACAAGTTCCGGTAAACTTCCAAACCTTGGCAGGCTGCTTCCCTTTGTCTAGGGACTTCCTTTTGCTCGAGTTGCCTTGCTCTATCAAGTTAGCACGAGCCTCCATCATCAGAATTTTTCCCGATGAATTACGATTGTCCTCCTCAATACGAAGACGAACAATCAAGTCTTCAAGACTCATCTCCTTCCTCTTATGTTTGAGGTAGTTCTTGAAGTCTTTCCAACCCGGCGGCAACTTTTCAATCACGGCCGCAACTTGGAATGACTCGCTCAGAGACATTCCTTCAGCATGGATATCGTGCAAGATAAGTTGAAATTCTTGCACTTGGGACATGACGGTCTTAGAGTCGACCATCTTGAAGTCAAGAAACTTGCCGACGACGAATTTCTTNG